CAAGGAGGTAAAAAACGCATGGCATTCCTGCATACCATACTGTAAATATAGATGTGAATGTTACATTGATGACATTAAGATACGCACTGGAATGAAATGATCTTAATGGACGTACAGCTGCTCAAAAACCCTGTTGAGAATAGGTAATGACATCAATAGGTTGAAATAAGTAATGGATTACCAAAATGAGCAGAACTGGAGACATGTGCTTTTCACAGATTAATCCAAGTTTCAAACTGATCAATAAAAATGAACAACAATTTCTTGGATGGTATAAAGAAGAAATGTAACATCTTACTAAAATGGACGTAGCGTGTACATATGTATCTATCTGTGTATGTGACCGAAATAATAAATACAATGTAGCGCCATCTACTGAATGGCAAAAAAACAAAAATCAATAAAAAAATTAAACTTTGGGTATTCAAGATTCAGACAGTTAGAAAAATAACTGTAGTATGTGCAACAACCATTTCTTTATATTAGAACAGAATGTTAAATAAGAGTATTCTCCTCACAACAAGAACACGACTTTCACTAGGACTGTACTTGAGGGTTTGTTTATGTCTTTATTGATATATCTTTAAAATGTAGTACTCAGAAACTGGAGTTCTTAAATAAACGGTACCACTTTTAACATATAAAAACATTACAGTTTACATCAGTAAAATCATTTTGATGCAGTGAGTTGCGTATGACCATAGAGCTCAAACCCGAAAGCTTTTTCCGTGCAGTACTCCCCCCCCCCAAAAAAAATATTTTTTTAGAAAATGTTCACTTTCTAAATTTTTCAATGAGGTATGGATTCTACGATTAGTAATTACTAGCACAAATAGCCGCCCGTAGGGCGGCGTTCCTTCTAGTATAGTTAATGTACAAATATGTAAATCATGATAGGGAATCAGTACAAATTTTGGATTGCATTTCAACCATTGATGTCAGAGATCTACATAAAACTGATGGCATCTTGAATATTGACAAGTACATTCAGATTTTGATCTATCATATTGTTACCTCAGGAATATGACTCGTTGGGCGGCGAATCATTTTGTAGTACGATAATGATCCCAAACTTACAGAAAATGTGGTGAAATACATGTTGGCAGTAAAGGAGCTGTTGGAACACTTGCAGCCAAAGACCCGATATGAACTTCACGAAACCATATTGGCTTATGTAAAAATTAGAAAGTCGAAAGGTGACCAATCTACTTGGGTGCATTGTGGGAAGTGATACAGCTAATTTGGAACAATATTTCACAAATATTCTTTGATGAACTGTATGTCAGCATGAAAACGAGTTATAATACTTTGTGTAAAGCAAAGGGCTCACATGCAAAACACCGGTGCATTGTATAGATCATTTGCTTTTCTTTTGTATTTTCCGTGATAATTTTTGTACTTTTAATAAATTCACCATTAGTTGCCATTATTCGTTGTTTGTGACTCCTGTATGAGGCTTGTATATTTTCATTACCGTATGTTAGTAACATTTTAAAATAAATTTTGTCGTTGAGATAGAATAATCATATTTCAAGTAAAGTTTAAGTTGTTATTTTTATCATTAGTATAATATATTGGAAATTGACGTTGTAGCATGCTCATACTTCTTATGCTTTTAGTTAGACAGGTTAAAATTTCTTGCTCACCTAAAATGGCTCCTAGTGGCACAGCGGTAAATCTGTAAACTTATAACGCTACAAATCGGGTTTCAATACCCATGGGAGACAGAGCACAGTTAACCCAATGCGTAGCTCTGCGCTTAGCAACAAACAACCAAATCACCTAAATCTTAAATTTAATTTTCAAATGCTCGTGTGTACAGCCGTGTGTACATGTTAAATAAAGATCGGTTTTGGAATGCAGATAACTTGTGATTGCCGTGGTTACTTATTGTTATAAAGGCCCGGCATGGCCAGGTGGTTAAGGCACTCGACTCGTAATCTGAGGGTCGCGGGTTCGAATCCCTGTCACACCAAACATGTTCGCCCTTTCAGCCGTGGGGGCGTTATAATGTGACGGTCAATCCCACTATTCGTTGGTAAAAGAGTAGCCCAAGAGTTGGCGGTGGGTGGTGATGACTAGCTGCCTTCCCTCTAGTCTTACACTGCTAAATTAGGGACGGCTAGCGCAGATAGCTTTCGTGTAGCTTTGCGCGAAATTCAAAAACAAAAAAACTTATTGTTATTTGCCATTCCCCTTTGGTATCACTTTTAGAGCTTTCATAGTAGAATAGTTTGCTGGAAAATTATATATATGTATTTATATACTATGTACTCTCTGTAGCACTTCAACTATATGATAAGTT